TTGCCAGTAGCTGCGCCTCCCATCTACTTCCCCCGCCCCCATTTAGTAACAGCAGTGTCTATGGCCAGCACCCTCCGACCCCCCCCCCCCCCCCCACCCCCCCAAAAAAAAAAAAAAAGTTTGTGCCTCATACATGTACCTCCAGTCTTCCCGCAAACAGCGCCTTCAGGTAAGACACACACACACACACACAGAGGATCGCAAGGTCGGTGTGAGTAAAGTCGACCACTTTTCTCTCTCAAGGATGGGTATCGCTAACTCTGGGCGATGTGGTGAGTCCTTATCCATGATCAGTCAAATGCATCCTGGGCACACTGTCTGTCCAGTTCAACCTCCTGATTTTTTTTTTTTTAAACAAACGCAACTTCTTTTAAAAAACCGGGAAACGGGCCCGGCGTCACCTCACATAGATGCTGCAGCCATCATGGGCTAAGAAAGGCACTTCCGACCAACCCTATCCCTAACCACAGCCATCTAGCTACCGAGACCCCGGCCCCCCCAGTACTATCAGGTCTCAAGTTGCTAAAAGGAAAAAGGCCAAAACTCAAAAAAAGGACTATCACCCCAGAGATGTCAAAGAATGATTACTCGAATTTACCCAAGCCACTAAAAATACTCAAGATTATTTGAATTTACTCAAACCGCTAAAAGTACTCAAACCCTATAAAAGTACTCAAACCCTATTTAATAGTCAAACCGTAATTACTACTAACCAGTCATCAAAAACAGACACAACTCCCAAAAAACAATTCAAGTATACTATACTTCCAGCAAACCAATCAAATTTCTCTTCTCCCTACTTCAGGCCAACCAATAACGTTGCTATCGCCAGATATCAAGTTAGGGCAGCGAATCAACAACCATCGCACGGTAAACAGCCCAATTGCCACAAAGCCAATCGAAATCCCACACAATCCTCAATTCAAAGTTTCCACACAAGAAAACGGCAAATCGCAACTGATCACAACCAGTAAAGTAATAAAGCAAATCAACACCAAATCCCTACAATCCACGACATCACCGCTGTATACCCTGCTAGCACCCATAGTCGGTATCCCCTATGAAACCCATTCCAAACCTATATAGCCTAACAATTAGTCAAACAGACGTGTCGTTCATAAACAGAGTCAATAACCCGTCAAAGATCTAAAGACTAGGAGGTCGCGAGCAACACCACGTCCGAAGCAGGAGCATCCGCTAAAGTGGACAAACCCCGGTCGAGGCTGAAGCCCTGTGTCAGCAATTCACCAACAGCTCTGGGCGCTTTTTTTGAGTGTACAGCGAATATGACAACACACACACACACACACACACACACACACACACACACACACACACACACACAGAGAGAGAGAGAGAGAGAGAGAGAGAGAGAGAGAG